AAACAATTGAGCGTCAATATAAAAAAAATGTTACACATATGTAAAAAGGGATGCTATCTTTCCAGACTTTACGGTATTATTATCGGTTACACTAATAAATACATATCTAAACGGACGCAGGAATCGCATAATTATAAAAAACTAAGATTCGGCATTAATATGTTTTGTTATTTATTTGGCGGTCATATGCAACAGAGTTTCTTGATTGTTCGTGTAACCTCGGTAGTTCTGCAAATGCATGCATATATCTGTGAGAGAAGGAAATTAATTTAGGAGATATTTAGTAATAACGTGACCATATTTAATGATTATATAAAACAACCAAAAATTATATTTAACATTATTATTTTTTTTAAAAAAAAATATCTACATTTTATTAAAATAAAATGAGTGATAATTTTCGTCAACAAATAAATAATATTTTTCCCTCAGACCATCCGCAAATTAATTTTTCTTCATCATATACTACTACTAGTAGTAATGTTGATAATAGTAACAATTACAATGCACCTGATATTGGTACTTTTGATAGAAATTCTCAAACTATCAATCTAAACAATATTGATAATAATCCTCCTGGATTTTTCTTAACACATCCTCAACTTTTACTTCCGCCACAATCTCAATCTTCACTTAGAACACCATCTCAACCTTTACCTTTACTTCTTGGGTCACAACAATCTCTGATTCCACAACAGCCTCGACCATTTTTTTCACCAAATTCTCAATATACAATTTTGAGTCCTCAAGTAAGCCAACATATTCCTCAACAAAATGACCAAGCACAATTTAATCCAAGACTTCCTTGTAATCATAACTACAACAACAATCGTAATAATAGACTAGGTGGAAATCTTGATGATGTGATTCTAAATTTAAATGACATTAATAAAGATCTTTCAAAAATTATGAATGATTATGGTATTTTGGCTAGACGACTCAATAATGCTATTCAAAATATAAATGCTCTTAATAGTAACATCTCAAATATTTTAAATAGTGATAGTTTTAATTAATAATTCATTAATCTAATAACTTTATAATTATTTGCTATTTATATTTAATAATCATATTTATTATTCTGTGTAGAAAGATGATGGAATATATATTGATTAATATTTATAAAAATAAACTATTTTCATGATCCTCACATATATATGTTTTGAATTGGCCTTAATATGCTTTTTATTCTTTACAAAAGAGCAAAATAACATTGCTTCTAGAAAGAGATGCATCAAGCATCAAAGGCCGAAAAGAAAAATATCTGGAATAGAATTACTCTGCTTTCTCTTTATAAAAATGAGGGGATCCCCCCGGTCATGTAAGCTCCCTCTTTTCACCGGAGAGGCTTATATGCCACCCAGAATTATTATTCTTTATAAATTAGTTCTACGAGATATATATAACCTTTGAGAAATAAAAAATATTATGTGTATGCGTTGATGATTTTAATTGTAGGGAATGTGAGGATACGAAGCGCAATCATCATACTCTAGCTGTTTTATGTTCTATCTGAGTTTAAAATACTGTATAGCTCATTACATAATTTCGGAACAGTCGTTTTAAATCCAATCAGGGTATAATAAGTGAAATATTCAAACAAAAAAAACTTACTAAATTAACATATGGGCACAGTCTCATTCCAGGTTACGACAGGATTCATTAAAAGTCTTGACATGGGTAAAAATACCGCTAATTTGTAAACTCGACCCATATTGGAGTTTTTGTTCTAATATTTCAATTTATATGTAAAATACCCAGAATCTGATGCCCATATTAAAGCTAAAGTTCCGCATGAGCTTGTAGTAACTCACGAGCCAAAATATCGAATAAATATTAGTAAAGTCATCTAATTCATAAACCCCATCCAAACCCATATCCATCATTAGTAGAATATTTAGAACAAATTGAACAGATTTCGCTTAACAATAAAGTAGAAATCGATTTGTTTTAAGAAGGGCTTGTGTAATACTGGATTAATTTGCATCACCAAAGAAATAAATTGGAGGGAATCGTGATCTACACGGATTAATTTGCCACTTTTGGAAATTAAATTAAATTGTAAAATTTTCTTGAAAATTTTTTTGTCTAAAATTCCTGCATAAAACTTTCTGCTGAGATGGCACGTGGTGAATTTATATGTTAGAATATTAATTGAAATATTTACATAACAGTGCAAATCCTTTCTCTTTTTTTTAATTAGTGCGTGTAACATTCGCATGCCAATAATTTCTTTTAACATTTATAACACATAAACTTCTTAATAAATTAAAAAACGATACATATAAAAATTTTTATTGAAGTTTCAATAAATATTTGGCATCTTTTATTTAAAATAAAGCTGCTTTTCGAACTCACAATAATGGGTTAAAATACACACGAAAATTTACACTAAAAACG